CTGTGTAATTAAGTGCTCTATTCCTTCCCTTTTGCATTGGACGGGCACAATGGCAGTCCTTGTACTCCTCAGTATACTAAGGCCTTTTCTAAACTGGTGCTCCTGCTATTGTGCTAACCTTTCTAATCCCATAGGAAGGTGCGTGTGCTCCCTGCCAATGGTGGCACAACAGCTGAGCTCTCTCAGGGTTCCTGCCTGTAACATATCCCTTAATGCTATAACTGCACCCCAAAAGTAATTGGGTGAAGCTGTTTAATTTGGCCATTTAAGGAAGCTATAACAGCTGTGTGTGGCAGAGGTGATGCATCCAGGGATGGATTGTAATGTCTGAAATTTTATTTACAAAGGATATTGCTTGTTTTCTATCCCTACCTCTCATTGTCCTTGTTTGTTAAAGCAGAACTACTAGATTAGTGAGGGGGTAGGACCTCATTCTTCTAATGTTACTAAACAAGCACTCAAAGCTTGTGTTTCCAGTTTAATCCATTTTTGCTGTAAAGAAGTAGTTCTTGGGAGGAGATTATTTTTTAGGAGTTTAAGATCCAGTCTCACAACTGGGTTAGTGCGTTCACAGATTGTGTCACCTTCAAAACTGACCTCCTTAGGTTAAATGTTTCCCATACATGTGGGAAAACTGGACCCTCGGAAACTAACAGATCCCAGAGAATTACTAGGATAATTTTCAGTGCATATGGGCAACCTTGTCTTCCAAACCAAAGCTAGCTTAGCCAGCCACTAGACCACGGGTGGGCAAAATGGAGCCTGCCAGGCCGTTCTATCTAGCCTGCGAAGCCCCTAAAAATTTTTGAAAATTAGTATTTATCTGCCCCTGGCTGCCTGTCATGCGGCCCTCAATGGCTTGCCAAAACTCACTAAGCGGCCTTCCTCCCAAAATAATTGCCTGCCCCTGCACTAGACAATCCCCCTAAAGCATGAAGTAGTATGAAGCCACTGCATTGGCTTCTGAAACACCTGCTTTCCCAGTAGACAGGCTGCCCTTTTACTTGGCTGATTTCCAGGTGCTGGAACAGCACCTTATGTTGGCTTTCACCAGTTGTGAAATAAAGCTGCCCTTAAGCTAAAGGCTGAACCCAGCACGCTACTTCCCCTGGCATAAAGGGAGTGCAAAGAGGATACTGGATCTGAAGGAAAGTATTGAGGTGAAGATTTTTACTATGGACCTTGAATCTGCCAATCTTCATCTCTCAATGTCTGTGGAAGTGTCAGCTTCATACTGTTAAAAATCATTCAAAACATTGTATTCTAGCACCTGTTTTGCATCGTACCTTAAATACATCTGTCAGAAGCTGAGCTGACATGCTTCCAATTTGGGAAGAGAGGTCATCCATTAAAGTCAGCCCCTCCTAGAAAGGAAGGCAGCAGAGTCTGTACTGTCTTTAGACAGTGACTTGCAATACTCTTAGGATACTCTGAATTTAAGAGTCTCTGTGTTTATACAGCACCTAATGTAACTGGCTCCTGACCTGATACCTCTCATACTGACACCAAGAAACATCAGCTAATAATCACTACTGCTTTCTGGTAGCCTGTTTGCATTCTTCCATGCTGCCTCTCATCTTTGGGAGAAGATTCCTATAAACATCTGCAAAGCTACGTCATTATTCTTATTTGAGTTCCTCCTTTCCTGTGATCCTTACAGAAGACTTTGACAAGATGTGAGGTGCTAGGAATATTTCCTGTCTTGCAGGCAAATATTACCTCATTCTTTCCCTGTGCTTCTGTCTGTCTGCAACAAAAATTAAGCCAAGAGAGATCTTTTTGTTCCGTGTCTGTACAGCACCTAGCATAATGGATCCAACTCTGTGACTCGTCCTTCTTGGTGTTATGGTATACAGGAATACAAGTATGGATTCATTGTGCAGTCCTGGCCATGACTGGTGCCTCTGGACACCAATTTATCTGAATAATAAATAATAATAGGAGTGCTGATTTGCCTGTTTAACTTTATCAGGCTGTTTTAGACTTGGAAACATGCCCTACTGTAGAGGAAATGTCCATACTGTGCTATGCATTGATGCCAAATCATTTCCCTAGTTGACTTCCCTGCTGGGTGGTAAAGTGCATTTTTCTGTTTTTATTTTCATTCCATCACATTCTCTATCTCAAGAGAAGGATTTTTTCTCATCTGCAGTTTAATCTACATATTGTTTCAGTTTAAGAGAAAGTAACTTCATACACTGCACTGCACAAATGTTCCCCACTCCACGCTGGCTATTAATACCAATAAAGTTGCAGACAGACCCAAAGAAAAGAAACATGAAAGATACCGACCAGTGAGATATCCGAAAAGAGATTTAAAAGGTAATGGCCCTTACAATGTAGAATAAATAAATTGCTTCATTAAAATAAAATCATTCCTTCCTAGCTACATCTTTCCTTCAAAATAGCTCCCTTGATATAACTTCATGTGGACAGTAAAATTCAATTCAGTGTTAGTCACAGAGAGCTTCTGCAATAACCAGAATGTTAATTAGAGCTTTCCAAGCACCAGCATGCTGAAGAAAATCAATACCCTCACACCTGTGCAACTGTGTTGGTGCTGCCATCAGCACTGGGGACTTGCTGTAATTCTCCCATTGGTAGTTCCCATCTCGGGGGCAGAGATCTGAACATGCTTAAGGAGATAGGCAGTGCTCCTCTGAGGCATGATTTGCTGCAGTGCACATTCCCACAGTTTCAAATGGTCCCAATTGAGACTTCATGCAGGTTTGAAGCAATCATGCCAGGGATAGAAAAGGCCTTCCTGATCTTAACCTTGATCTCCTGGATAAATCATCTTGGAAAGAAATTATTGTAAATATGTATTTCACTTACGCACTCAATACTTGAAATATGTAAAAATTGGGGTGGGAAGTAGTTTTAGGCGTTCTATGACAAAAATTAGGATTAGGAACATTTGGCCGTAAATATTTTAGTTTTACTTTCAGCCCAAAAGAAGAAAGTGCCCTTCTCTCATGGACAGTCGCAAGCATTTTTGAACATGAGTAACAATGGTTTTCTCTAGTTTAGTGTAGTCCCTGTGAGTCATTCTTATGGCTGCAACCACAACCGTTCTATTCTAATTAAAGACAACTACACCAAGAATGCGTAATAATTAGGTTACGCATCTGCCACAAAGGTTGATTGAAACAGCCTCCAAACACTGTGCTCTTGGGTAGACCTCCTAAACTAGTTCATTACTGACCTCGCCATGCAATAACTTGATTCTGCAGAAACCTGCAGAAAATTAGGGCAAAGACTACATATAAATCTGCACTGTTTTAGCAAGACTTGTAACTTCAGTGGGAGAAAGCCACCCACATACATTAGAGGCACACAGAGATAAGAGATCCCTGTCTTAATGAAGATGAATTGCAACTGGAGAGCCCATTGGTCTATTTCAAGCTTTCTTGCTGTTTAATGTGATGGAGCAAAATGCATCTGAACTGAAAGGGTGTTTACCAGATCAGCCACTGATTACTCTAGTTTGTGTTTAAGAAATATTTAAGAAAATAGTTTGCAGATGAATAGCGCTTAAGACCCTTTGACATCATGCATTTCTGTGATTTTACACTGGACTTGGATAAGCAAGTTATTTGGTCTGAATGTAGGCATGTGGGAGTGTGAGACATGGAAAATAAAAAAAATAATATTTAGCATTGTAGTGGGCTAAGCTGAAGTGGCGGTCATAGCAGATTCATACAAAACAATTTAGAGCCATGTGTCACAAGAGACACATTGTGTCAGGTGCTCATTTATCAGCTTTGCTAAGGGCTAATGTTATTGGGAGTTGCATGTTCCCAGTGAGAGATCAAGCCCCAAATAGTGAAATAGATTACTTGATCAGAAGATCACTTTCTAGGACTGGTTTAAAATTTAAATATAGGGAAGATCAATAATTATTTTACTTAATTTCATTTTATTCTTGGAACAGTATTTCTAAACTAGAAGAATGGCATGACCAGGGGAAGAATTTTATGCGGCCGTTTATTACACGTTGCTCACAATTTACTAGATACTTCCCACAAATAAAAAGGCACAGTCCGTGTCCCTAGGAGTTGACAGTCCATGGGTAGCTAATGAATGAAACCAACAAATAAAAGGAATGAGAAGACAAATAATAGGGCCACTGATTTCAATGAGAATTCTGTCACTGATTTCATTGTGGGCCAGCATCAGGGCCTGGATTATGGAAGGTTAATGAGCATTTCTTGGCATTTGTGCCTGCGTAAGTAATATTATATCTCTTTCTCAAATAATTAAAAATTAGAGGACTGTTTTTAAGTGCTGGCAGTGCCAAGACCCCATGGGTATGGTGGTACTTGATGCTTTCCTTTATCAAACACTTTGAAATCTGCAGGTGGAAGTGCTGTATAAGAGTCAAGGTTTACTATGAGTGGTTCTAGTGTTACATGAAGTTACCATGCACACAAGTTCTAATGTTATATGACGTTACTATGCAGTCAGTCATGCTAGAGTATGTAGAAGCCTCTGACAATATCCCCATTTCTAACACATGGTATAACTAATGCTTTGTTTAGAATAATTTTTTTTTTCTGATGTAATTCTTTTGGTTCGTGATGCAATTTTTTTTGTCCCCAATAAAAGTATACCAATACAATCCATAGTATTGCTGTGGTGCTGCCTGCTGTGATGCTAGTATAAAGGTGCTTTATAGAAAAACAGATTATTCCTCTTCCTGAATTGGAATAGCTATTCTATATAAGCATTTTACAATGTTATAACTCTGTCTGCTGTAGGGGATTATACGGTAACTATACTTTAACTATACCTAACTAACTTTAACTATACCATTATATCTAAAACAGTACAACCTTTTGGTTTAAATGAGGCCTAAAAGGCACATTATTTGTCGCTCTACCAACTCCCTATTACACTTGGTCAGTCTTTCAAGAGCAGAACTAAGGTCATATCCATACTGCATGGGTCCATCCAAATTGTAAAATACCCCATATCATCCACACGTAAAACGTTTTTACCTGGCATGGAGATGCCATTAGCTTGAGTTGGGAGATCTGGCAGGTGGTGTAGGATAGAACCTTGTGGCTTCCAAATAGGGCACGAAGCCATTCACTCTGCAGTGCGGATTAGTGATGACCATCTTCCAAAGCCTTCCCACAATTCTCCTAAAAGATAGACAAATTCTGTCATAGTTGACAAGGTGGAATCCTAGAGCATTTCAACACGAAGAGCCATGCGATATGTACCTAAATGTACGTGGGCAGAGAGGAAAGAGTAGCAGAGCTTTGCAGCGGGAATACTGTGCTAGCTGTATATGAGTGGCTGATGCTGATCAGTTGGCTTAAATCTGCAGTAAAGATATCCCTTAAGATTACTGACTGATGTGAATGTGCCCTGCAGAGAAAGGGATCTGACTGGATGTTCAGAACAGTGAACCAAGAGTCAACGCCTGTGTACTATTCCTAACTTGTCGCCGAGTTGTTGTTTGGTGTTAGACAAGACACGCTGCTAATTTCCTATGGGAGTTATGAAGCCACAGATTTTTAATACTTCCTTAATATCCTCACCTCAAGCATGATACATGTTGTTCAAGAGGAGCCACATGCATCCACAGAGGGACAGAATTTGGCCATATATGAAGTTAAGGAAAAGGATGGAAAACTATATGAACATATCTGGGAAATAAGCAACATTAATGTGTATGCACCAAAAACAACGTGCAGAGTAGGGCAGACCCCAAATTCAGCCAGAAGCAGAAATCATGGAAAGAAAGCTTAAAATCACTAAAGAATGTACTTATTTTACTGTCTCACAGGACACCACCACCTCTGTGCGGATAGGTCTTATGATGGAAGAAATGATCTTCAACCTTGCAGATACGCATTTGTTCTTTAATGACCTGGAGGTATGTAGCTACTTACTTTACTTTAACAACTCTTTATTTAATCATATGCACCTAGCTTATCCTTGGTTTTCTAGCCCTGAAATTTAGTTTAGTGGGCCTGGGATGACTTGTTGGAAGCATGTCTCAGAGGGTACTTCTGACATTTTCACCATTAAGGACTTTTTAAGAAAAGTAGTGTAACCATGATGCCTATTGGCACTCTTGCTAAATCTAATAATAGGGACAATGCTTCCTTTTTCCGCCTGTAATTTACTATTAAATAATTTATTAAACTATATTAGCATAGATCTTGTAGGACATACAACAGTTAATTTCTATACCAGTTCCAACCAATAGAAATGGTTCCTGGTCCCTGTAATCTTTATTCTGCACTCATAGAAACTAAACCAAAGGGCTCCTGGCAGTCAACCCCATAGTACAAATTGAGACCACATACGTGTCTTTTTCACAAAGAAGCCAGAAAGTCTTTCCTGAGGGGACATCAGCTCTGTTGATGTACTGCATCAAGTAAAATACAAACTTAACATAACACAGATACAAGACACATCAAAGGCCTTTTAGACCATGTACTGAAGCCAAAGGAAGGGCAGAATATGCACGACTGAGAAGTCAGCTGTAGAGTGCTGGTGAAAAGCTGTGTGAACTCATAACCCGTCCATTGTTAGGAGTGGTCTTAAATGATAACACAGATTTATTCAAGATTTTCTAAGCAAAAGGCAGGCTTTCCTTGAAGAAAATGAGCTGGCTCCATAGGCACAATATATTCAGGAAATTGTCTGAAACAGTCTGGGTCAAAAGGCATCAGTGTTGTGTAGGCATTGCATAGGCACACACCCGTCCCTGCCTGTTTACTTGGAAAAGTAAGAATTTGCCTGCCGAACTGGCCCCATGAGGGCTTCTGATTCCTTCACTTTTTAGCTCTTTATAACTCATATGGGGGCTCAACAGCGTTACCACTCTCTTAAGAAACTTCTAGACATTTTCATTTTCCTTTAAAGAAAAATGGTGTGTAGCACCCAAATTTCTTTCCTCCTCCAGCTTTATTCCAAACAGTGGGTACATAAAGTGCAAGGTGAAAATCATGAAGAATAAGTGAGAAAAAACTATTTAAGAGCATAAGACACTGTGTAAATGAAGTTAATCTATTTAGAACATAGCCAACACCTTTCATTCATGTCTCAAAAGATGAGCAGGTAGTATCAATATTAAGTCCACTGTATAGGTGTAGAAACAAGTGCAAAAGCTACTGATAAGTGGATTTCCCAAATCAATACTGCAGAAGCTCTATGCTTATTCTGCTAGATTTAGGTTACTGCTGCACAGGAGTCAAATTTGCAAATCAACACATTGTCTCCATGTTTCATCCAGCCTCTAAGACCTGAAATCATGACCATGTTATTCAACTTCAGCTGTGA